GTACCTGCAGCTCTGGATTATTTAAAAATATTAGTGAGTAATATGGTCAATGAATTTTGCTTTAGGCACAGATAACACTTAACGCCGAGTTGCTTGCTAGTTTATATGTTGGAAAGCCATTTACATGTAAGAAGATCAAAGCTGCTGCCAACTTGCACAACTTTGAAGTAACGGGAGTACAGATTACAATTTCCTTCTGAAATAATTTCCTTTTTATAATAATTTTAAAGAAATATTTATTTTGCAGGATAATGTGTTTGCATAGTAATTTTGTTGTAAAATAATGCAGAATTATCTACAGAGGCGGCTTTTCATGCTGTTCTTGAAAGCTGCTATTTGCATTTATATTATTTTATATGATGGAAAGTGTTTCTATGGTATTTAAAAGTTTGGGATTGATGAACTCGTAAACATACCTATGGGGTTTGAGCAAAATAGTTCCTTTTTCTAGTTGTAGAATGGAGTGAAAGATTTATCAGGAAAAAAAAATAAATTTAATTGTAAAGTACTCCTTAAAATTTATTAAGTATTAAACAGAGAGCTAAATGAACCTGAAATAATCTTGACACTATCTAGTAGTAAATCAAACCTCATGGTAGTTTTCTGATCATAACAAAGTATTTTCGATATTTGAAAACTGAAGTTTTCCAAGACTCTACCTTGATTAGAGAATGGTATTCAATGACATTCTTTTATTTCTATAAAAACATAATACTTAACAACTAAACAAGACAGTATCATTTTATTTATAATTAAAGAGTAGATTTGAGGCTTTCCAGGAGTAAAAAGGCTGTTGAAGTTTCAGATCTATAGTGCAAACTCCAAACAGAGCATAGAGTTGAGCAAATTGGTGAAGTCATGTTTCTCTAAGACTAAAGCCAGAGTTTCAATGAGAGCATCTCATTGATCCACCTTTTTTAGCCTCAATTAGATAAGTGACCATTTTTCTGTGATGATGCTAGATGGCTAGAGTGTTTGGGGTTTTTTGTTTGTTTGTTTGTTTGTTTTTGTTGGGTTTTTTTGTAGCATGTCTGGTTTGGAAATGGCAAACCTTCAAAAAGGAACCTTTTTATGTATTTTTTTATGTATTTTTATGTATGTTTTTATGTATGTAAAATGTCTACCAGTGTTTCATGCTTCTCAGCTTCTAACTGGAATTATGTGAAAACCAACCATTTCATACCAGTGCAGGAACTGCAGTTTTGCAGAGGTGGGAGGAATGGGGTTTGATTAAAATTGATTCTGAAATAAGAGCACCATTTTTGCATATCTGGGTCTGTGCTGATTCAGGGAATTAATTAATGATTTGGTGCTCAGCTGTCTCCATCTGCTCCGCTGAGCTTGCTGGGAAGCACTCCATGGAAACAACCAACTGTGTCAGGAAAATGATGGGAGTGTGAGCAGTGGAGCCCCGCTGCAGGGAGGAGGGCAAGGAAGGGGGTCAGGTGGAGCCACGCTCAGAGGCAGAAAGGAGATCGCGCGGAGGCCCAGGGACAGCAGAGAAGACATGACAAGGAAATCCTTAGGTTAAAGTAAGATCTCAGGGCATGAGGGGAAGACAGCTAAATACAGACTGTCACCTTCGATTTTTAATAAGGTTCAAGAACAAAGCTTAGCATTAATGTTTTGGGGAAAATTTCCAGTGTACAAACAATGATATTTGTGAGACAGATTATAAAATTATATTCTAAGGCTCACAAGGATTGAAACTTCAGTTTTATTGTAGATACTGGTCATATTCTTAATCATAAGATGGGTGAGCAAGTTCTCTTAATATGTACGTGGAGTAACTGTACAGCTTGCCCAAAGCCACTGCGCTGCACTCATGTTCAGTCATGGAGCATTTTGCTTGTACCTTCAGGCTAACATGAATCCACTTGCACAGGATCCTGCCAGTATCAGTTTGTTTCTTTTATTCATTGAGAGAGTTGTTGTCTTCTTTTCAAAGTCATTTAAATCATTGCTTAAATCGTTCAGAAGTCATGCTTATGTACAAATACTTTTTAACGTGTTACATACATTAACTATTCATACTTCACAAAATCACCTTAAGACTGCCACAAAGCATTACTGCGTGTTGCTCTCATTTTGTCAGGAGTTTAGGTGGTCTGTCCAAAGCCTGAGAAGAAATGAATATAATTTGTAGTAACAGGTCTCAAGAACATCTCTGGACCAAAAGCCACATTTCAGTTTCTGCAGACGTCTTCTTCTCTCCGTCTGCTTCTTCCTTGAATTTGGCATGCTAGTCTCTCAGTCTGTTAATAAGGAAATATATTTTCAAATGTTTATTTCCAAATAATTTCATTTGTCATTTTGAGAAAGTATATACTGTCATGCAAGCTCATAGGACATAATGTTTTGTTCAAACAGAGCATTTGCACAATCACTGTAACTTTCTTGGCCACCTTTCAGGCTTGATTTACAGATGCAGTGACTAGCAATGAAAACTGGCAGTATCACTTGTACAAAGGGAGATCAGAGGCAGAAGGTAGAGTGGGGTGGCGTATAATGTTGGCAGATAAGGCGAAGTGGGCTATGAAATATGATTAAATAATTGAAATCAAAACAATACTTTAATGGGACAGGAGAACCATGGCTGCGTAGGTTTTCCCACCTCCAGAGTGCAGGCGTTCAGCTGACACCTCACAGAGATCCAGTGCTCAGGATAGAAGGACAAAGTACTCATGGACAGGCTAATGCCTTTATGTATATTGGTGGCTGGCAGAATCAAGAGAGGTCAGGAAGTCCTCAGGAAATAAGCAGATGGCATCTATAGGATGCAGGAAAAGAAAGAGGTGAGGGACCTGCAAAGAGCAGCTACTACTGTCAGAGCAGTAGCACAGTAAAATGGTCTTTGCCAGCATTTTGAATAAGTTAAAGATGATGTTACAGTTCTCAGAGCTTAAGAGGAGAAAGGAAAGGATATGACATGTGATGGTGTGGAGGCTTGGATGAGAGAATTAGTTCTAAGCTTCATAAAGAAAACCACTCATCTTAGAGATGTTTTACACAATGGTGCTGCTAAGTCTGATCATAATTTGTACCAACTTAAAAGAAAAAAAAAAGAAAAACAGAACAGAGCAAATCAGTTAGTTATTTAATCACTTATTTTTAGAGACCACTGTAAGCAATGATGGTACCCAAGGTTGTATTTTATAGCTCTGTGTATTCCCTGGTTACAGATCCTACTCGAAAACATGAACTCATTTTTACGAACCTCAGGCCCATACTTCTGTACCCAGTGGGTTTTAACAATTGGAAAAATAAATTCCTCTTAATAACTCCTGAGGTTTCTTCATCTCATTATTTTGGTCCACATATTTTATTTTTATTGATAGGCACTCAGCAGTATAACACACAGCTTCCTACAACACTTAGGTTTTTCTTTTTTCTCTACTTGCTTGTTTCTTGTTCATAGCCTTATATATACTTATGACATTTATATGCATTTTGATCTTAGTGATATACTATCATAGTGACTTTCACTGAGAAAAAAAAAACAAAACTATGGTGTCTATATTTGATAAAAGAAATATCACTTTTACAGAATTTTAGCAGGGCTGAAGAAAAGATGAATACCTATATATGTCTGTACACATACGTTTGAATACTCTCAATGCGTTTCACAAAGCTTGTAAAGGAACTGCTACCAGATGACCGTACCAACTTAAAGCCAGGGTAAAAGTCTGTTTTCTCAATCACTTTTATACAGGTGCTTCTATGATGAGATGTTTAACTCAGCACAGAGCAGGTTAGAAAAAAAGTGTTAAGGAATAAAAGTGGAGAATAAATTACTGATGAATAAATTGTATAAGTAGGACTGGAAAATATCCTGTATGCCATGGTTCACAATCTGTTTTTGACATAGGGGACTGAGTTCATTTGAACAGTCAGACATTCAGTAACTGGTCAAAAATAGTCAGCCAAACATTTATTGTAAAATAAATGTAAATTTATCAGTCATTTTCATGCCGGAAGGTTGGAGCTGCTCTCTGCACCAGTTTTGTGAGAGATGGTACAAAAGCATGTGGGTCCCCACCACTGAAGTTACCCAGTAGTGATGGACATGTCCTTATTTGAGATGTTCTGTCAGTGCCACTCACTAGGACTGAAACTTCCAGGATTAAAGGAGGCATGCCCAGAACTTGGCTTCTCCTACCGCACTGATGCCCAGGGCGGGCCAAGGAGTCTGCCTTGAAATTGTTAAGCACTCCAAATGATCAGGAGCTTCCTTGTGTTTACTCAAAACATCAGCACGTTGCCCTCCAAAACTGTGTGCAGCTCCTGCTGGATACCGAGTTTGAAGGAAAGAGGGCTAACGATTCAGTTCTGCAGCTTTCTTCTCTATCTTAGTTCATTGCTCTTTATGGTCATGGTCACTCATTCAACTGTAAAGACCCTGCAGTTATGCATTATCATAATCACAAAACTCTCTGGAATGAGAAGTGTAACACACAAGTTATGAACAAACTCCGTGGATTCCCAAAATCAAAACGTTCAGCACGCCAGAACAGTTTTTGTGATTTTATCAAACTTTACATGCACTTTGTTCATCTGCTTTTAAATCCGGGATGGAAAAACAAACAAACAAACAAAAACCCCTATTCTGGTTTAATTTGATTTCCTACTGTAGAAGAGCTGGCAATTACATTCCTTGCCTTACCCTCCACCCACCACTCTTACTGTCCCCCACCAGCCATGTAGAAATCTGCACCATCCTTTAAAAGATGTTGCATTTAGAGGGAGAGGAAAATGCTTGGTTATGCCCAATGGGTTTTTGAACTGTATGCTGGTAATACAGTTATAATCCTAACTGTAAAAGTGTTCAAATGCTTGCATTCAGTCAGCTGAGTAGTCCCTTTTTTATAAGGTTATCGTGTGTTTAAAGTGAATACATGCTTTCCTAAAATAGACGTTTTTATAAAATTTAGATAAGCTCAAGTTTTGCTGGTACACGTCAAATCTTCTAAAATAATGTCTATTTCTATTCTTGCCCCTAGGTGGACACCCATGGAAACATTTTGCTAACATCACTTGAAATCCACAACGAGGTGGCAAGCAATGAGGTCACAACTAGTGTCACAGATGCCAGAAATTCAACAATATCCTTTGACAGCTCAGGAATCCAGTACAGAAAACAAAGCTCACATCGCGAAAGCCTGGGAAGGCGTTCGTCAGAAAGAACAGGCACCCACAGCAAGAGGACCCACTTACGAAGAAGGTCTTCGCAACTGAAAATAAAAATCCCTGATCTAACAGATGTGAATGCCATCGACAGATGGTCAAGAATGGTGTTTCCATTCACATTTTCTCTTTTCAACTTAATTTACTGGCTATACTATGTTAACTGAGTGACTCAACTTTTTTAAAGGACTTCAATTACAAGTGAAGTACTATTTGCCTGCAGAGTTTATATATATTTATATATAAAAATATATATATATATGAACTTTTACTATGTAGAGAAGACTCATGTATGTGTGAATACATATATCACAGAATTGTGTGCATATATAAGCACACATTGGAAAGGAAAGTGTATATATATGCACACATACATGCACACATTCACTCTGAGGTTACGGACAATTTATCATAGAATGCACTTCAAAGGAACTTTTTACATTGAAAGGCAGGTGTCAACCCAAGAACAAGCCTTGAGAAAGTAAGTGTTGTATATTCTCACTACAAAACCTTGATTGTCATAGAAATTTTCAAACAGATGTAATGTGTATATAGTCAGTATTTAGTACATTGTTTGTAAATGCTGCCATACACCCTAATCATAAAACAATAGAGCTACACTGTTGAGTTTAAAATAAGTCATTTATATTGCAGGTCCATTGACTGTAATTTCATCAAGCCAAATTTGTTTACTAAAATTTTTGAGTTTATATATGTTGTAATAGGTTCTTTCCCAGTCATGAACGGACGTCATTTTTTAGTGATCTCTTGCTTTCTCTTCTGCAGTAAGCAAGCTGATCACAGGAGTGTTGCGCTAGGTCTCTGGAGACACATACATGTTCATAATATTTCAAACAAGCATTTTAAGTGTCCAACAACAGTGAAAAGAATCTTTTGTAAGTAAGTACTGTAAATGTGCAGAACATCTTCCTTCCCTTGGACTGACTCCAGCTGCCATGTCATTTTGAAAGAGAACAGCACATTTTTAGTGTAATTTAGCTGAGAATTCAACTACTGTCAATGTGTTCTACATCTGCTATAGATTTAAAGATTGTTATTCCAGTGAAAGCATAGAAGATGTCTCAGGTTATTTGCTACTTCAACGTGAAACCACCTAGATGTAGTCTTTTTTAAACATGCATCCACATCATTTAACATTCTTATAACATTGTATGTTAATGTAAAATATGTTTGCATAATATGCATATATAAGTATATTTTCTCAATATTTTTCTTTTCTGTGCTTGCTATCGTGACCGCATGCTATGTCATACTTTTTGTTTCTGTGGTGTTACAACTTTTTATTCTCTAGACTTGAGCAAATAGAGCACTTCTTTGAAAACTTTGATTCAGTAACGGAGCATTTTCATATTTCGTTTATATACTTACAGTATATACACATACACTTACAAAACTAGTGTGCTGCAGTCACAGATCACAAACGATATCAAACAGTATTTCTTGTTCCAGCATTAACTATGTTCAAACATCTTCTTCATGTGAATGTGGCCAGTTTTGTTTTCGTTCCAGGTCATTCGCTCGCCAGGATTCTAACTTTTTCAGCCTAGTAGATTGTAGTTGTCAAGGTATGCCAATTTCAAATCTGTAAAACTTAATTTGTTATTTATCGGAACTGAACCTTTCTAAAGAAAATAAGATATATTTTTTTGTAAACGGTCTTTCTACCATGTACATTCACAAATAACAATAGATACAGTAGCATAAATAGATCTAAAAAGTTAATAATGTCAGGTGTGGCCCTGACAGCTGACAGTTCTCTGCATATAGAATTCCTGTGGAAATCAATGGGAATTTTTGGCAGATAGAGAGCTTTGAATGCCAGAGACATCTATGAGAGAAAAATGTGTAGATATGCATCTACCCCCCCCAAAAAAAAATCAGATGGGATGAAACTGAAACGGCTGCCTTGGCTCTGTAATGACCTGTATTCTCAGTATTCCTGGTGTGTCTATGAGTAAAGCTCTGATACTGGTGGTGCTGCAGCATACAGCCCGTCGTTTCCATCCCCAGCTATTTGCAGCTGAACTGTGAAACTTTGCCGTGGGCTGAAAGCCAGCGTAGGAAGTCTTGGGTTGCAAGCCTGCGCGGCCGCTCCGGCCTCGGGGCTGCTCCGTGAAGAGGAGCAGCGCGCTCCACGCTGCTCTGACCTGCGGCACCGCCGCGCTGCGATCCCCAGCCGGGCGCGCTCGCAGCAGTAGCGACGCTGCCACGTCCACGCGTGCGGGACCCGCGCTGCAGGCCCGCTGCGTCGCCGCACGGGTGCAAAGCACGCGCGACTGCGGTCGGCAAGCACCGCGTCTGCAAATAAGGGTGCAGGATGAAGAGCTTCAAAATAACCCACG